CAGTAAAAACAGTAAAAATATAAATATCCATATTAAATTAGCTAGAAAAATAATACTTTATAAAAGGACTATAATTGTAATATTGAATTACAATTCAAGATGATGGGGGAGGGGGGCAGAATCGATTACCCACCAGCCAATTCGATCAATGCGAGCCCCCATCGGGCCCGCAGAGCACCTGGCATAGCCAAGATTTCACACTCTTCCGGAAGGCCATGAGAGTTTTGGTGGACCGTACCTCAGGTGGTAAGTTGTTCAACGGGGCAGGAGCCATGCCTGAAAAGGCCCTCTTCCTAGACTCCACCAGTCGAAATTCCTTGACTGGTGGGGCCCGCAACATGCCTCTTCTGCCGGACCAAGTGGGGTGGTTTGATATTAGGGGGGCAATGCAAAACATGTCTACTAGAATCTTACTTTTTGTATAAATATGTGTGTGCTGCCTTAAAGACATTTCCCAGTGTTTTCTTTTTTTTCCAACCAGCAGGGAAGTTTTCGTCTCAACCAGAAAGAGAAATCTTCCTCAGCTTAGATGCATAGCTTTTTTCAAACAGAGAAGATGCTTGGCCTTCCTGTATCATGCTGGTGCATGCCCTTCAAAAACAGGGCATGGGCACAACAAAGAAAGGGATACAGAGAGGATTTCCCCTAGCACTGAATTTTTGTCTGTGTGCATGCTTTCAAGTCAGGGTCAATTCCTGGCGGCTGTCTGAACAAAACCCTGCAGTTTTCTTGGCAAGATTTCAGAAGTAGTTTCCTCATGAGCCTGAACACAAAAAGGCCAATATTTTAAGGAAGCCACTCATTAAAATTATGATTATTATTTGTGCCTTTGAGTTAGTGTTAACTTCTGGTGGTTGCCTGGACAAGTCCCTGCAGTTTTCCTGGCAAGATTTCGGAAGTGCCAACAGAAGACAATATATGTAGCTCAGGGTTGGACTGTGGAGTTCAACATATATAAACAGGGAGCAAACCCCACACTCACTAGCACTGATGATAACTAGTCAGGTAATGAAATGAAACATCTGTAAGCAAGCAACCAAGCTCAGAGAGTGCCAAGGACTCCACATTTCAGAAGTGGTTTGCCTGTCTCCTTCCTAGGGCTGAGAGGGTGTGACTGGCCCAGGGTCACCTACTGGCTTTGTGCCCAAGGCAGGACTAGAATTCATGGTCTCTCGGTTTTTAGCCTGGTGCCTTAACCACACCACCAAACTGGCTGTCAGTATTGAATAATTTCCCCCTTTTACCACAATAAAATTTACAATTCGGCAATCTTTTGGCAGAAGGCTGAGTTAGGAGGCTAAACAACCCCCTTTTTAATTGGGACTCTTCTGCATGCTATGCACACATCCTTTGACTGAATGAGGGCTTGCCTCCCTGTTCTCCCTTCCCAAACAAATGATGTTTGAGGCAAAGGGGATTATCTAGTAAAGGCTAAAAAAAACTAGGGTGCTGCATCAGCCATCTCATGGTTACTGAATCGTATCATGATTTTTTAAAACTTTTATTTGTTTTATTTGTTATTACATCCCACCAGAACCCTGAAGAACACTTGGTGGATCACAGGATATCCGATGACAGTTAAAACCATCATGAAGTAATTATAAAACATAATGAACCATAGAAGAGAGCGATTTATAAATGTCTCTTAAGATTAGGTCTCTCCCCAAGTGCCCCCTGAAAGAGCTTCGCTTTCAGCTGCTCTTGGAAGGCAGTTGAAGGGGGAAGTCATGCAAATGTGAAGCTAATTTATCTGGAGGTTACTAAAGGGAAGGTCTAATAACCTTTTAGTATTCTACAAAGTGCTCTAGAGCAGTGTTTCTCAATCTTGGCAACTTTAAGATCTGTGGTCTTCAACACCCAGAATTCCCCAGCCAGGAATTCTGGGAGTTGAAGTCCACACTTCTTAGAGTTAGGGAATTCTGGGAGTTGAAGTCCGCACATCTCAAAGTTGTCTACACATCTTAAGGTTGCAAGTCCACACATCTTAGTGTTGCCAAGGTTGAGAAACACCCCTCTACAGAATTTTGCATTCTCAAGGTAAGTATCTCACCTAAATTTAGTCCTTCAGCCCTGAAACAACCACCGAAGCATCTAATGGGCCAGATAGGTCCTTCAGCAGGTTTGTCTATCTAAGGCCACTATATTGGAGAGTTAAAGTGTTTGAGAAGACCCTAGTTCAGGCCAATTTGGTCCTGTTCATGGGAATTAGTTCCTAAATTGAAAACCTGAAACCCTAGCCCTGGCTTTCCCACCAAGGGGCCCAGGGTGAACCTAACTGGCAACTTATCTCAGATACATCATCATCACATCTGCCACACTGGCTCCTCTGGACCACCAGCCCAGCCCAGAAGTCAAGTCCAGGCAGTTTGCTTAGCTAGGGACACAGTTAAACCAGCTGCAGGCAAGAACAGTAGCTACTGGAAGCCATGGGGGCATTTGTACTGGTCCTATGTGGCTAGCGGGCACAGCAGCAGCCTAGCCCACACCCTCCCCAAAAGTTCAGTGGTAATGCTCCTGCCTGTTGGGCCAGCTCTGAGAGCTGCAAGCGCCTGAACTGGTGGATGCCGAATTTAGATCTCCTGCATAGATTGCTACAACCCCCTTTACATGGAGCTGCCCCTGAAGACCATCTGGAAACTTCAACTGGTACAAAATGCAGAGGCTCATTCCTGTTGGAAAATTACTATGGGTAATTTCCAGGTTAGTTTGCATCCAGCTCAATCCCAGTCAGTCCTTAGATCCAGATCAGAGTAAGCACTCAGACCAACCAGTTCAACTGACAGAAAGAAAGCTGAAAAAATGGATAAAAGGCTGACAAACACAGAAACACAAGAACAACAGGCAAGAGTTAAAAGGGCAGAAAGCTTAATTTCAACAATCTACATTGATCCATATCTATTTTTCGAAGGGCACAGAATTTTCCAGAGCTACTAGAAACAATCCTGGGGTCATTAGCTTGGACAGTCTCAATGAGAGCTGCCTTTGGTTATTCCAGCTTTAACTCTTTCATGGAAAGTAGGACACCAGGTGACCCCCTAATGGCAGCAGCGATGGGACAATTGATGGTACCACCCATTTTTTATGTGCAACACACATATCCTGCAAGTTTGATTATTTTCTTCTTTCATAGCTGGATCTATCAATCTATTGGTAGCTCTCAGAAAGCTGGAAGGGTTTTTTGGCTCTGGTAATACAAACATTTGGCAAATAAATGTTTAAAATAAAAATCATGGCTTAATCCCAAAGGATTGAGAAGCATAAAATGCAGATCCAGAGGAGCATACAGTATGGGAAAGACCCCATTTGAGAGCAGACTTCAATAAACAGATGCACCCCAAACATATTTTATATCCCGGCTTTAGAATCTGTTGTTCATTATGAAAAGCAGGTTAAAATGTGTATAAATAAGTACAAAATCATAAAGGCACATAGTTTCATTTCTTTATGAATTTTAGAACCTGCATTATCACTGTTTTTTTAAAATATATATTCTTCCAATACACTGTGACCTCAAATGTTAAAACATGCATGCAAAGCCAGTCCAGAGAAGTATTCAACCAAGGTTTTGGCCTTGCTTCAAAGTTGGATCACAGGCTACTGCAACTTCCAGAGTTGAAAATATTAATCTCATGATAAATTAATTTTACACACACACACCAATTAAGAAATAAAACAAAAGAGTAAGGGTTTTTTTGCAAAGTAGGGCAAGAAAACTGGATTGTTGCATTAGATCAAAATGTACCTTTGAATGCTGGATTAGTTCTTAGTTATGCGACACAAAAGAAATTCCATCACAGCATGAAAGAAATTCTTGGACAGACTTAAAGGTCTTTCTTTCTTTCTTTCTTTCTTTCTTTCTTTCTTTCTTTCTTTCTTTCTTTCTTTCTTTCTTTCTTTCTTTCTTTCTTTCTTTCTTTCTTTCTTCT